TTTTTTTTTTTTTTTCACTTTTAGTACATTCCTTTGGCCTTACGGAAATGTAACCGTATGCTCAGCTCTCGTATCTCTATAATTTTAGTTCTTTGGTTGAGGACCGTTTTATTCTCCGATCCCACGAATTTTCAAATGTTCACATTTTTAATTTCCGTGGTTTCGCTGGAGGCGTGACTACGTGGGAAATACGCACCCCTGCCTCACTGTCCTTTTTACCTTGGCACTCCTGCAGGGCTGCGGCAATGTCGTCAGCACTAAGGACGTCTGTGATGTTCATTTTCCACCTGTTCACACAGAACACATGAGACGTGGTAAATGGCAAGCGGGAGCACGCACGTCCAGGAGCACGACCCCTTCCCAGGCCCCTGAAACTGTCTTTGTGGGGAAGGTTTAAAACGTGATAAGCGTGCCGTGGTGTTAAGTGATGGGACAGAACACCCCCGTAAAAACCAGAAGCGGGAAGGATCCCAGCCCCCTTTGTCTCCGTGCCTTCTCCTGAATGTTCTTCAAAGACAAAATTTTAAACAATACAACTTAAAGAACGACTCGATACCGTTTTCTTGTAAAAACTGTATTTGCACAGTCAACCATTCATGTAGCCGTCTACAAAACGTTCAGAAGTAAATCACGTTACAAGGGCAGTGGCAGTGTCCTAGACCAGCCTGAAAATACAGTGCTACCAATTCCTCTCACAGCTTGGCCTCCTTGGAGACCTTTGGTGGAAAAGGTGCCATCTATCCCGAAGGATGCGAATCAGAGTCACGAAACAGCCAACTGCCAGAGGTCAAAATCCTTCCAGGAGTCAAGCCCACGGGGAAAGAGACATCCGAGCACAGCCTGCACCAGCCTAATAGGAACGCATTAGGAAAGAAAAGTCTGGGGTCTCGAAGGTCCACCAGCTACTTACCGTTTTAGACTTTCCCCCAAGAAGAATCAGGGAAAAGAGTCGAAGGAGCAAAAAACAGATGTGCTTTTGCTGCCTTACTGACCTATCTTATATAGGATCGAAAAAGTGATAGTAAGAACCTCTTAGATTTCCTTTTCAAGGATCAAGTAGACGTAGCTCAAATGTCTTGCCTTACTAATTAAACCTCTTTTTTTTTTTCTATTTATATCACAAGGGAATGTGGGTGGGAACAGCCAATATTGAAGAACAAACCTCAACAAACCTTAACTAGGGTTTCAGTTCTGCAAACGAACCCCACTGGCGGTGTGGAGAAGACGCCAGAAGCCTGGCAAAGAGGACACGGTGGCTGAAACGAGGTGAACGCAAACGGAGGCGCTCTGTAAACTGGAAAGGGCTCCCCGGGTGACAGTGGCTGCCGTTTGAGGCAGGTCTGCTCTTAACCTCTGAGGCTGTGGACGTGCGAGGCTGACTTCGGTCCAGGGTTGACCCCAAGTCAGGGTCAGATGGACACAAGTCAGGGTCAGATGGACACAAGTCAGGGTCAGATGGACACAGTAGACTCGTCCATCACAGCAAATGGCACTGGATGGACGACTTTCCAAAAAAGTCTTGACTCTGATATTTCCCATCTCTCTCCTACATTGCACACACTAAAAAGGCAAAATGGAGGAAAGCACCCAACCATTCCCAAACCCCAGATCTAAAATTGCAGGAAAAACATGAGGCCGGCATTTGAGACCTCCCTCAAGGTTTTTTTGCTTTTGGTTTTTTTTTTTTTTTAATGTTTATTTTATTTTT